TACTGTACAGTTGTGACGCGTCTATGCAGTAGAACTCAATTCTTGTAGTCCCCCTTGATTTTACTGGAGGTGTGCTCCTTCAAAACAAATCCCAACCCTTGGTTTATACCTTAGTCCTCCTGGACTGCGTGCTTTTGACGCCAATCCCGACTTCTGATACTTTGATGTTTGATCAAAAGATCTTGTATGTTTTGATCTGTAGTTTAATGTGAAACAATATAGTTAGATCAACAAATTAAAGTTTGTATGAATTTATAGCTCAAATAATATAGTGGTTGAATTTTTGAATCAATGAATGTGTTTATTGTTATGTACATGAATCATTAATTCTAACGTACAAATCAACATATTACATTAGTTAAACTGATGATACAGAGAACAAAATGATCATATATGCAAGCAAGTCAAAGTTGCATGACCCAATTATGCCAAATTGAAGACTAGAGCAAATTTATAAGCAAATACAAGTTCGGTGATCCCATTGACCAAATATAAGATGATCGACCCAGTTGAAACTCCATTGAAAGTTGGATGATCCACGATACATTTATAATTTTTCTCTAAAAATAATGGATTGGTTTACATACACATGATATAGTGAGATATTATTGTGTCGGAATCTCCTCAAAAAAAAAAAAAAAAAAAAAAAAAAAAAAAAAAAAAAAAAAAAAAAAATTTTAAACAAAAAAACNAAAAAAAAAAAGAACAAATAAAAAATTCTACTCTCTTTTTGACACATAATCCGTATGTAAACTATTATTTCACTCCATTATATACAAATAACATCATTCTATGAAAAATTAGCAATTTCACCTCAATGAGACATGAACTAATATTATACTAAACTGATAATTAGAACCCACCATAGTGTTAGTAAGAAGCCTTTCTTTTCTCCAGAAACTCCACCAAACATGTGAAGAACCTCTCTTACATTTTCCTCTTAAATTCTATTTCAAAAATGTTCTATTTTATTTTTGGACTAAATGATTTATATCTAGGAGTTAATTGGAAAGAGGGGCCTGGATAAAAGGTTTTGTACCTCAAGTGGCGTCGTGAGCTAATTTGATACAAATGTCATATTGAAGTTTTGAGTTATATGGATAGATTCGGATTGAACAATTTGTCTACACAATAATTATTTGTCATTGAAAGATTTTTCATTATTGACAAGCCCATATTGCATTAGTGACATTTCGGTCGACCAAAGTTGACTTTTCGATCGACCGTCGGTTGATCGAAAGTTGCAGACAGGCGGAACAGCTTTCAGTATTTTGATCACATCGTTCTCTCCCGATGTCCAATTAAGGTGATTCAAAATGAGTTGGAAAGCTAAGTCAAAGGGCTACAACTCTTCTTCCGAAATCATCTTCACATTAGATCATCTTACACGTCAAAAATCTGTCCCAATATGAGATTGAAAATCAGAGTATAACTTTTTGATTGAAAGTTGAAGTGTGATCTTTTGAGGGACGTTTGAAACTGATTTTTCAAGGTTTTTGATATATTACAAATGTTCATTTTTCAAAATCATTTTCATGTCAAACCAATTTATACAAGTGATGAATTTAT